TAACCATTTTGTTCAGTACGCTCTCGAGTTGAAGCACTTGATACCATAGTCACGCCCTTTTCATTTTTTGTCTACACAAAAATATACAGCCATATGCATACCGTTTTTTTTTTATAAAGAATAAAGAAAGCGACACAGATCTAACTCGTGCTTTCCTGTGAAAATCAAATGACATGTTGTAGCTTTTAGCACTACTTCTCAAGGTTCTCCAAAAGCGTAACCAGTCAGAACGTAGAGTAATTGCTGTTTCTATTAATATTTTGAAATGACAAAATTCAAGGCAAAACAAAGAGAACATCGAATTCAAGTAAAAAAATAAACTAATGATAGAAATAACAAAAAGAGTTGTCAAAACTTTTACCTTCCAGTCGTGTACTAACTGTACCTGTCGCTTCTTTCAACTAGCAAGTGCCAAACTCGGTGAGAATGTCCCGCATTTATTAAGAAGAGGAGAAAGACGGCAGGTGTAAGATAGAAACACACAGTTTTAATATTCAAATAAATGCATTTTAATCATAAAATCAATTTCGAAAACGCCACCCAGTCCAAGTTGAAAAGAGAAAAAAACGAGACATGTGTATAACACTCTTGTTAAAACTTGCCAAAGAAATTCAGTGTCAACTCCAGATAGATTGAATAAATTATACGTCATCTGCATTGTGTAATTACACTTGTCATCAATTTATAATGGAATATCCCTGACGAATCCAGCATTATTCGATTGCTAGCGTTATGGGTAATACAGTGGTTTTTATCGAATTTATTTAAGGATCAAAAAGTTCTTTTTGGACTTTGTGAAACGGATATAAGAATGTAGTGTTATGAACCTGTAGTTGATATTCGCTGCAGGCGCGTGACTGAGGACATATTATGATTAAGACTATGCTCATTAAATATGATTAAAGAAGAGGTGTTTTGGCGACTTTTGCCCGTTGTTTGTATTCCCCTAAGGTTTTTGATCTTTGTTTTCTTTGTTAACTGAACTGTTTATGCGTCAAATGCGTCAAACAGACACCACGATCGAGACCACCTGAATGTTTTTGCTTTATGGAAGGAAGAAAAGGCAATATATACTCGTCTTGATTCTTTGCGCTTTTATTTTATTGAAATGTTATGTTCAACATTATTTTCATCTCTCAGCTCTCAGCTCTCATTTTTCGTTTAAAGACTACTGTAAAAAGATTGTTTTGTAAAGATAATAATTAAATACAACGTTTACTTTTGACACTTGCTGGATAAACCAGCTGTTGTTTCCAAATATATAGATCACTCTTTCTCGAGGACTCTATAATTGCTAATATTAACGCTATCTGTTTTATAAACTCCGATACCGTTACTTTAAAGGTATATAACAAAAAARATGAGCTACCGCATTAACGGGGAARGTTCAACACAAAACTGCAATCATAAAAATGGCTGACTTAAAATTAAAATTCCTGCATGATTAAAAGTTATATAAKTTACATAAAGTGGTTCTTTCATTCCCMTTTAGCTGCTTTTTGAACTTGTTTAAGTATAYCGTATTTATTGATCGTTTTCACCCATTCCCATGAGATTCAAAAGATAAAAGACCGGCGGCCATGTTGGAGGAATGAACAATAGATACTAATGAGAAATCCTTTGTKRAAGTTCCTCCAAGATGGCCGCTGTGACGYAACATGCATAAGCTGCACTCCGAGTTTTGGGAAACGTTTTTGTAGAAAAAAAGACAGAAAATAAACTTTTCTCTTTGTGATCGCCACCTGCGAATACWGCTTTCTTCGATGATTTTGCTSGATWTCCGTGATCCAGCATGCATTGCGTATTAGGATCAGCGGTGTACTATGATGCTCGTGGAGTTTATCGTGTAGRCATTATTGTTTAGATTGTTAGTTGATACTAATAGTATATTTAAAGAGTTGTTTTTCATTCAAAAGGTAAAACCAAACTAGTAATTTTAAGTGATATAAAACTCATCGTGCTGCCAAACTTCCAAACAAAAGGATGGTGCCAAAAACCGTTTCGTATTTCATGAAAAAATATTAAAACAGATTGTATTTGTTTAATATAAGGAACAATTTCTTAGGCCTATTTCTTGTGTATTTAAAATATTTCACCCTGGATTCTTCACTTCAAGTTTGACAAAGTCGCTTAAATGAGTAAATACGGTAATTAAAATTTTTCAAAAACAACTGAAAACA